GGTCGATTATTGACGAAACATCCCCATACCATTATACCACCTCCCCCATGCTTGTAAGTGGGAACTAAGCAGTCAACGTCATATTTTTCTTTTGGCCGACGCCAAACCTTTATATGAGCATCATTTTGATATAGTGTAAAGCGAGATTCCCATCATTCCAGATTACAGTTTTCCATTCGTTGACCCATGCTTTTCGTTCCTGACACCATTTAAGCCGTTTTATACGATTATCTTCAGAAATAAACGGTTTTCTCTTCCCAACACGACTGTGAAAACCGGCTTCATAAAGATAAGTTCGAACAGTTCTTTCAGTAACTGAAATGTCCAAGCTTTCGTTCATACGCTGAGCAAGTTCGTCAGCTGTAATCTGCCTATTTTTTCGAACTTCTTGAGCTAAGTAGCGTACGTTCCGATCGGACATTGACCTCGGTCTTCCACTCCTAGGTAGAACCGTTGTCCTTTGGCTATCCCGAAGTGCATTAATTGCACGGGTAACTTGTGATGGTGAAAACCCAAGAGCTTCAGCAATCTGGCGGGCATTTTTTCCACAATCCCACTGTCCGATCACTCTACCTCTTTCAAAATCTGTAAGTTCCTTATTTAATGTCATAATTTTTTTACAATTCAGAAGCCATTCTTTCAATGACAAAAAAAACTCGATGAAGTTTGATAAAATACTTGGCTCGTAAACACACTTTAAAGATTGCGAGTTAAACGAAATTTTGTGTAACATTTAGATTTTGTCGATACTTTTTCCTGTGAGTGTAGATCATTTGAAACTAGTAGTGATTTCGTGTCCTTTATTAGGCGCAACTAATTGAAACTAGTAGTGAATGACGCTAATAAAATCGTAGCAACATTCAACGTTGTTTTCAATCCTTTTCCACGCAATGACTCAGTCGGCCAATAAGGCAAGATTTACTTGCTCAATCTTTGACATTGAATTAAAGTCTTGATAGATGCGATGACTATCCAAGCTTTCAATCGTTTTCAATTCACAATCTCATCCTGACTAATCAGCCATGCTTCTTCCATTTAAACCATTGTCAATTACGGATTGCCGCCCTCTTCTTGAAACAGTATTACCAGACAGGAGATAATAAGAGTATGGAAGTAGAGAATAAAACGCTTCCGCTTGAGTAATTGGTGGGTTAATTGCGTAAATCACGCTTCTTGTCAATGTTGGGTATTAGTGTTACTTGTGTATCGTTGTTGCGTGAAAACTGGTACTTTGCAACAGTGACAAGCCCGGAAGTTTGCTCACTTATTAATATAAGCGACTGATCAAAGAATATACAGTAATTGGAATGAAGTTGAAGATGGCGGCTTTGAGAAATATTATATCAATTTTAAATGGTAATAATTTAATACTGTTAGCTTATGATTACAACTCAATAAGAGCATATCGTTGTCAACGTTTTCACATTCCTTAGAAAGATCAACAAACTAAACGTCTCAAGCGTCGACATAAGTCAGTCAGAGCTGGACAGTTTTCAATCGTGAGTTCACTGTCAAACCTTTATCTATTAGTGGCAATCGTCTCCCCTGTCCGAAATGTCACTTAGACTTCGAATTTGTTACGGTCTTCTTACTCGTTAGATATAAGACCAATCGAGAACCTGTATGTGTATTTGAAGTAAATTTACAATAATTAAAAAAAAAGAACAATTACATTTATTACAATAAATTTTTTAAAATTAAAAGGTCAGAATGATAAAATTATCCTTAGATTAGCAAAAACTTGGCATTGAGTAGGAAGAAACAGATTTATGAAAATTCGCAAAAGTCAATAATTGTATTTGGCAATGTATAAATATACAATAATTATTTTTGTTGCGAGATAAATTTTAATATTAATAGTGCCATTGTATTTTACTAAGCTCAAATCGCAAATTTTAGCAAATGTGTTCCTTTGGTATATAACGCTAGTACTAATACTAAGGTACCATTTGATTGCAAATTGGAATCAGAAATGGCAATACTTTTAGATAGTTAAATTTATAAATAATTATAAAAAATGGCTACTTGTCTTTGCTGTCAATGTAATAATATTGAGCTTATATTTCAAAGTGTTTCAACCAAAAATTTTATTTTATTTTATTTTTAAGTATTACACTAATGCAATCAATAATTAGTGAAGAGTTTACGTTTATATCCGAAAGTGCAAAAAGAAAAAGTTGTATTAAAAATTTGTATGATAACGATAAACATAGAGACATTATTAATCAAACTATTCTCAACTCCGGTTTACACGGCCTAGCTGACGCGCCCCTTACAAGGATAGAAGGCGACTACATACATATTTCCTATCGCTAAACCATCTATTTATTCAATACTCTAAATTTGCTAACCTTCTGTTAAGCATTAATTCCAAAAAGTGTACGTTATTGTTTAAAGATATTTCTAGCTTCGAACAAAGATCGGACGACGTCGTTGGTGTTAAAAAGTTGCATCCTGTCGGACGCGTATAACTTTTAACTATTTCGCGGGTTGTTACGTATATGCAATTAAAGTATACGATACGTGAGACCAAGTCTTTGGCTTCGTGCTGGTAAAGTTGTAAGCCAGAAATAAAGACTTATATCTTAAAGATGTTAGACTAAAGATTGACTTACTACAGAAATAACTTGTGGATGCAAGAGTTCAAACGATTACCAATAAATCATACATTGGTGATATCAAAGACTACACTCTAATGATTGAATATCCATCCGTAGTCAAGCGACATCCATTGCAGGCGTAACGCAAATGGACGGGAAAGACAATCATCAAGGAAGGCGGACCAATGCAATAGGAATGAATGAAGATCCCGTAATATAATAAAAGTAAATGACTATTGCAATCAACTGCTCCCGGCGCCCAAAGTGAAGACTGTATAGATTATCAGGCAATGGGTCATTTTCATCGTGCTTGAATAGCGAAACGTCAAGTTTTCATACAAATATTATAGCAAAAGACACAGTATTCGGTTTGTATTCGTATAGCATGGAGAGGTCGGGGGAAAAGGTCGGGGGAAAAGGTCGGGGGAAAAGGTCGGGGAATTCAGTTTGATTTCGTTGCTTGAAATTATCTTTGCAGGCTTTCATTGTTCAAGGGGGCTACTATCTGTGGAGATTCTCATGTTGAAACTTTTACCAGAGAAAGCAAATATATAAAGAGGCAAAGTATGAAAAAACAAGTGATCTTGACGAATTGAGAAAAAGGAACAGTAATTATCAATGTAAAATTTTGTAATGTTGAATAAATTTTGGATCCAATTCGGTTCTTTTTTCGAATAATCTAGGATTAAATCGTTCCTGGATAGTCGCGCAGGCCAATTTGTTTGCTAGTCTTCTTGGATTTTTTCTTCGGCTCCATTAAATTTGTCAGTTTTCCAATTTATGATATGCAGCTGATATTTGTAAATTTTATAATAAAGTGAATATAAAAACATTTTATGATGAAGTCTGTTGACAGATTTGGTAAAGCTTTTTCGTAAAATAGCTCAATTTCTCGTTTTTTATAACATTTCAAACTAAACGTCATTAATGCGTAATCAACATGCGCAAATTTCTGCGCATCACGCATCATTGGTCACATTAATCCCCATACGTCATTGATTCAGCCACTAATCATTTACGAGTACTGTAACCCGCGCAAAAAAATATCTCTCATCATGTCTTTCAACATCTGGGTAAAGTATGGTGAAAGCCAGCCAGCATTTTCAATGGAAGGGACGTCGGGCGACCTGAACAAGGAAAAGTTCAAACCAAGGTTGGACGACGTCGCCACTGCTGACATTACCCTCCGCCTACATGACGAGGAGGTGGCTCTTGAGCCAGATAGAGTGGTGAAGCAATCCTTTGGTCAGACCGTGCTGAAGGGTGGGAAGTTAGAGGCAATCTGGTAATGGCTTTGTGACTTGGGCATTTGGGACATAGAGAAGTGTGTACTTAGGGTAGAGTAGGTTATTGTTGTGTTTTTTTTCTATACCTGTTGTGAAGCTATTACTATGATCACAATACTGAATACTTAGTCTTGTGCTTTTCTTTCCTGCTTGCATTCCAAATATTTTCATGTGTTTCGAGCCCTCATATTTTCTCTTAATCTACGTTAGGCAACTTGCCGCATTTTATTAATGTACACCTTTTACTTTTGTATAATAAGTGTATAAATGAGTGCTAATATATTCTCTTTTTTATACTATATTAAGCATGTCAAATCCAAGTCAAAAGGGATACGCATTCGAAAAAGTGATATATAATATTCTGAAGGACGTAGGTTACGAAGTAGAATGGCGGAATGGGTAAGTTTTTATTGTATCTGAAGTACGCTGCCACTTGGGTGTAAAAGATCGGAGAATTGAATGCACATCGCGGCCGCAATCTGTAAATTATATAGTAATGTAGTATCCGAAGGTACGCTGCCACTTGGGTGTAAACTCGGGTTTCAATAAACACGGTTGGTGTATATATATATTGATTCCCGTATCCGACGAAGCTGTCAGGGAGTGACCCGGGCGTGGTGAATAGGATACACCCAAACATTACATATTGTAATTTATCGGTTGTGAACGTTCTTCTCCGTTGCCGACGAAGCTGTCAGGGAGTGACCCGGGCGTGGTGAATATCGTGGCCACAGCTTGCGAAAGTCGCCAGTCAGGTACCCAGTCCTGGCGTATGGTGGACGGCCTGCTGTGAACGTTCTTGACTATGGTGATGCAATTACTCATTTTAACATTTCTTAATTATTAGAATGAAATCGGGGGATGGGGGTGTAGATCTAATCGTCTATCATAGAAATGGGACGATTTTTGTTCAATGTAAAAACTATGTGACGACTGTTGGTAAGAATTTATTCAAATAACGGAAAATTTTAACAGAAACCATTTTAATATTAATATACAAAACTATAAATTATTAAGATCGAAGACCGGTTCAAGCGTTAGATGGATTCATCTCTAGACGCAGGGTACATTGTTCCGGCAGAGTTGGTGGTATTGTAGTTGCCCACAGAAATAGAATAGAGGAAGATAAATTTGATCCGGCGGCAGTTACAGAAGCAACAATTTGTCGTAATCTAATGAAACTATCGTACGCAAATACGATAGTTGAGGATATCGAAGAGTTAATGTCTATGGCTGAAAGAAAAGAAGGGTTTACGCAATGGATTTAATATATCCTTTTTTGGTTATTGGTACGGCCGAAAGGCACGTTATAACATTCGATCTAACGAATCCTAAAATATACAAGGTAACGTCATGAAACTGTCATTCACATAATTTTTAAGATTGTTCTGTTTTCTAACATCATTGCAATTGTTAGTAGTAGTAGAGGGAAGGGTGGATCGTTTGGAATTAGAAAGAGTAGAACTGACATTAGGAAATGAAGTGATGAGGGCACAAATGGAGAATGTAATTATTAGAAGAGAGAATGAGTTTCTCCGGAGAGAGAATGGGGAGTTGTTACAGCGAAGGGGTAGGGAAACGTTTTTCTTTTCAATAATTGTTTTGATGTTTTTATACAGTCGTACCCCCCTATAATCACACAGTCGGGAACAATGCAACTTTTGTTGAAAATGTGCTTATAAAGAGGTTGTGACTGTATAGAGGGTTTTTCCTATAAGTTCCATAGTAATTGGTTCTCAAACATGGTGTGCTAATAAAGAGGTTTTTATATGATGTGCTTATAGAGAGGGTGACTATAAAGGGGTACGACTGTATCTTGTTTTTTGTAAATAAAAAATTTTTTATTTATAAGAAATTATTTTCCCGATTCGAACTGTTATCAACGTTTTGGGTGTTTCAAAACCATACAGCGTAACTTTGAATTATACAACATACTAAGTGAGCTCAAAGCTTGATACATATCTAAATTATGTCTATCTGTCCAATGAAAACCATCAATTACAATATAATCCGCTAATGGATCCCATTTATCAATATTGATTCCACCTCGCCAAAAAATATACGATTTAGAAATATGATAATCGTATTGTTTCTTTGGTGTTTCATCCATTACTCGTCGATGTTTTCGTGCAACTCCAAATTCGAATGGATACGTATCACTTAAATCTGTTATGTCCCAACGTACAAGAGTACGATATTTATATTGTTCACATTCTGGCGAACATAAAATCTGTTTGTTGAAACCAAGAATTGTAATTATAATTGTGGGAATATGCTTTCAAAGCAGATGTTCAAAATTTCCCCCCGATTCATGATAACCATCTAACATTCAAGGCAGATGACTTTTGTTATATGATTTTATTATAGTATACCTCTAATATTATAATTATAATTGTAGGATTATGAATTTGAGATGTGTTATTGTTTCAAAACACTTTTCAAATTTTATTATAAGATAAGGGTTATATAATTTCGTGCACCCGCACGGCCGTGCACCCCCATGACGTAATGCATTTCAGCAGGTGCGAACTATTATGTAATAGTAATAGTATTGAATATGACCCGAATCGAGATTTTAACACAGGCAACTGCCTTTAATATTAATTCGACTGCCTGCATTCCAGAGTCATCAGTCAAATTAACAAAGACATACTTAAGGAAG